AATTATCTGAGTTGTTAAAATTTGCAGAGTGGCATTTGTAATCCTGGCTGGTGTCTGAACTGGGGAGATGTTGGAGGTATCTAAATATGTGCTGTAATTCCAGAGTGAAGATCCTGGCGTGTGTTGGGGGAGAGGAGAGAAAGAGAGAGTGAAGGAGGGAATGTGAGGGAGGGAGAGACAGGAAGAGAGAGACGGATGTTCTTGTTTATCTGACCTTGAAAACCATTAACCAGGGGGGGAAACTACTTTCAGAAAATAAAAATGGAAATCACACAAAATGATGAATCTAAGAGGATGCAACCGACCCAGGGACAGAGTCAGCTTCCAGGACCTTCTGTAACCAGTACACAGTCAACTTGGAGCTACCCTCAGACTCCTCAGATGTCTCCACCAACCCCAGCCAGCAGTTCCTCAACCAAGGTACCATCTTCCCCTTCCCACTACTTGTACCTCTCCACAACATGCTATTGGATTCCTCATGACCTTGAGAGAGCTTCTCAGTAATTCCCTACAATGTGTAAATACTCTAAACACCAAAAACCTCCCATTAGTTTATCAAATGCAGATACTGAGATTTTGTTGTATTAGAAGGCTTTTGCTACTTGCAAGGTATACGTTTTGACATAATTCTTAATCAATCTCAAGAGGGGTTACTGACTCGGTCCAGGGGTAGGGGTGTGAAGTGGCCAGACAATTAGAGATGAATAAAAGAGGATGTTTATCCCCTATGTTCTCTATTCATCCATTTCTTCCCGATTTACTGACCATTCTTCAGGATTCATGTCCAGCATTCAGTGTTCACTCTCACATCAGCTGTGTAAACATATTCCATTTCTGTGATTTGGAATTCATTGCTCCTATCTTTTCACTGACCCAGAGACACCCCCTTCGGACCCCAGCCTGACTCGTTTCCTCTGACAAGTCCTCCCCAATGCTCAGACCACAATACATCCCATCTTCCCACTGCTCCCTTTCATGGGTCCCTTTATTTTTCCTGCCCAACTTTTGCAACCATTAGAATGCACCTAAGTTCTGCTTTCTTCCTGCACAATAACCTCAGACGATAGGGCAAGACAGGGCAAGGGTAGACAGGTGAGTGCCTACAAACGTGCATCAACTTTTTCCTAGCCTGCCTCCTGTACTGCCCTGACATGGCCCTAGTGGCTGCCAGCACTCAGGGGTACAATGTCCATTCTGTGGTGAATACACAGGCAACCTGAGGGATGGGCAAGACAGCATGTTAATCACTGACGTCTAGTATAGTTTGTTACCCCATCCAAGCTACCCCCTGACCCAGGCTGGACCCAACCCCCAAGACACACACATAGAGTTGAGGGCAGACTCCCAATGGACAGGGTTTCTCAAGTTCTGTCTCCTTCTTCTTCCTGATGTCCCCATAACTGATAATTCCTCCAAGTCTCTCTAGGACATACTTATTGGATGGAGCTAACAACCTCTTCCTGTTTGCCTCCAGACCAGGCAGCCATGGCTGTGTGACCTTATCTGGTCATTGGAACTTCAGTCCCCCTGTCTCTTTGCTATGACAAGGACATAGGTGCCCATCTCAAGATAACTCTACTTTTGCCATGCATACTGGCTTGGAAGTGACAATTTCTACATCCCCATCTGCCTGTGTATGTGACACAGTCATTTCTTCTCACTTCAGAATTCTTCTGCTGCCCTGAAACTTCCTGGGAGCACAGGGACCCCAGGGAGGCTCCTCTGCCCCCTCAGCCTCTTACACCTACATGTTCTATGGTATCATTCCTCCTCTAGGGTCTGGCCACATGCGCAGGACCCCTGCCAAAATGGTTTCTGACCATTCAGTCTGTGTTTCATTACGTGAGTAGGAAAGCCTTGCTCTGACTCATCTCGGGGTCTCCCAAGGATTTTCTCTAGGATGTGTGTTTTGTTTGCTTTTTTGGATTCAAAGCCATGAACAGATCACTCTCACCTTTGATTTCTGCTTTATGTGTCCTTGAAGCAAGCAGCAGAGAACGGCATGACTCATGAACCAGGTGGGAGGTTGAGGATATACTCTTAGAGAAAATGACCAGCTTATGCATTCAAACTATTATCCAAATGAAGATTGTATTTTCATCATCTAAGTCCTATTATTGTGATTCCAGTTTCTGATCACTGAATTTTGAAAAGTAATAGCTCAAGATGATCCTGTCAATAAGATGACTAAGTATTTGTGGCTGACATGAATGGAAGGTTACTTATAACAGAGTTGCCATCAACAGGGTCATCATAAACCATGAAATACTGTTTATCGGAGCAGAGTACAAACTTCTGAAAATCCATGGAAAAACAATGACGAAGACAATTCTGTGCACTGGGCATTTACTGGTACTGGATTCAAATCCAAACTTTGAAATCTAAAGTTTAACATTTAGTTGTCATATCCCTAATCTAGAGTAGATATGCTGACGTTAAAATGTCTACAATTCATTTTTATACATTTAAGCCGTTAGTGTTAGGTTTGGGGCTGTTTCCATATGCCAGGTGCCCAGGGTGGCTAGAGGTTGTGTAATCAAGAAGCTGCCCTATAGAGGCAGCTCTGTAATATGCCTTTCAACAATTGGCACTTTAAAAATTAGATTACTGAACGTCAGAAGTGCTGAAAACTGTGGCTAATTAACTAATGTGGTGAATATTTAATAGCTTTCATTAAGCAATGAAAGGCAGTAAAGGCCCATGATTACAGCACTATTTCCCAAACTTACTGAGAAAATGTACAGCCAGTGGCCATGGTTTGGGTGGGATATTGAATATACTGAACACAGCTCAGAATGCTGAAAGTTTCAGGTTGTCTGGCCCACTCTGTAAAGACAGCAGAATCCGTGGATGAGAAATCACATGTTGAGAGAACGTCTCCGTCAGGGTTAGGATTAGAGCTCCCACTGGATGGAGGGCTAGATCTTCTAAATGGTGAAGAGCAGATGATAGAAACTGGTGTACTTGATGAGAAAGGCTGAGTTAATAGGTGCCCATAAATGTGGCCAACCTTGTGTGAGACATGCTATCCTTACAACAGAAAGATAGCTCTGAGAGTTATACCTCATCAGTTGATTTGGACCAGTTCTGCAGGAAATGTAGAGCCACCATATTCTATCTCAGACCAATGAAATTTCAGTCATCTGAACTTTTAAGATTTGCAGAGTGAGATGTCTAATCCTGGTTGAGATGAGAGGAAGGTAAGGGTAGGATGTCTACATATTCACTCCTAGTCCCCCTGCAACAGGATCTAATTAGTAGAGTTAAGGTCCTGTTTTACAGAGTAAGAATGAAATGAAAGCATATTATATTTCATCTAATTTTGGAAACAACCACAAAAAGAACAAAAGTCTATTTTTCTACGGAGAAAAGATGATATAACCACCAAAATTGATGACACCATAAAGATGCAGGTATTCCAGGAACAGAGCCAGCTTCTAGAACCTTCAGCAACCAGCACATGCCCAAGTGCAAGTTCTCCCTGCATTCTGCAGACGCTGCCAAAAACCCCATCCAGCAGTTCCTTAACCAAGGTACAAGGTGCCTGTTTCCAGTATTTCCCTTCCTTGTTAGATGATGACAAGGACCAATGGAACCCTGGAAGGGCTTCTTAGTAATCCCCAACTGCATACAATTATTTCTTTATTTAAATCACTCATTTATTTACTGGGTATATATTTTAATATCCCACCTAAATTCAAATTCCAACTCTAATTATATCCCCCTCTGCATTAAAATAACCTAAGAGCCAGTGGACAGATAATCATCCTTATATCCACACGGGATATAATTGGTCATTTATTTGTTTGATTTTATTTTTGTGTTTCCCTCAATGCACAACAGAGACCGCTTATGTGGAAGAAGGTGTAGAAATACAGTCAACCAGAGCATTATCACCCATTCTTCCTCTCCCATTTTTTTATTACATAAATAATATTATCTTAGGAAATTTAGGAAATGGAGATACACAGAAAAAAATAGGTAAATTTTTACGGTCTGATCTCTCTTACATCAAACATCACATTTTGAAAATAGTCTTTCTGATTTTACCCTTTGTTGCATATGTACAAATAATATCATTTTGTCACATGACATATTTTTCTATAATCCAATTTGAGGGGTTTTTTGTCACTTAATATGCCTTAAAGTGCTATTTAAGTCAACCAATGTAGATTTAAATTCTTATATTAATGTATAAGAGAAATTACACAGTTATTCCATAAATTAGAAAAATAATTCTGTATTATTTGACTTTAGGTTATTTCCAGTATTCCTCAGACCTGCAATGAGCAAAAGAAGAACATGTGTCCATTAGATATGCTTCCATGAGCCTCAGGGTAGATTCATAATAGTTTCCCAGGTCAGATCACAAGAAGCATTGCTAGTTTCTGTGACAGCCAACTTGTGGCCTCGTACTTGACCCTGAGGCCTCCAGAGCCCACCTTTGTCCTTGCCTTCATACTTCTTTTACTTCCTTTTACATATCAATACTTCCCTCCAATTCCAAGTGCTCTCTTGAAACTCTAATGTGATTCAGGCCACTGGGGAGACAGGATATCAGAAAAATTCCCCTGACACTTGGCTCCTCCACTGATGTGCTTCTCCTCAGGGTCCTGCCATTATTCCAACAGAGAAGTGTGGTAAAGGGGGAAATTATTCTCCTCCTTTACCCTTCTAAGTTCTTGGCTAAGACTCCTATATAATAAGAGACAGATTAATAAGAGAAAAACAAGCAGAAGTTTGTTATAATATATATACTTCATATATACCTGGGAGAAACCAGGGAAAAATTAGTAACTTCGAGGTGGCCTAAACCACCAGCTAAAATATCATCTTCAGCTTAAAGACAAGAGAAAGGAAGGTGTGGAGGCCACTTATGGAGATTACCAGGAAAAGTGGATAAACAAGTGTGTTTGTTATGCAGATTTCAGTCAGGTCATTTTTCATCATAAGATTTTCTTGTGATTTAGAGTTGTCCTTCTCTTCCTGGTGGAGAGAGAGACACTCTTACAAATGCATGTTCCTCACAAAAGGGCAATTTCTATTCTCTTTGTAGAGCTTTTCCTGTATCTGCTATTTTTTTTAAATAATCAGCTCAAAATAATTCTATGCCAAGGAAGCATATTTTCAGATGGCTCATTCTGCTACTCTTCAAGAGCCTGGAGCCAGGGCATTTCCAAATTAGTGAAGTTCATGAGATTCTCCAGTGCTTGTTTAATCTCTTTTTAGCACAGTACTTCTTGGAAAAGGGCTAGTGGTTTCCGTCTTTCAATTGTGACATCTACTGGGATTGATTCCAGATGAAATCAGTTGTTTCTGACTGGAGACTTTCCCACTGTCAGTGATGTTAGGATGATTTATTTCCTTCCCTATATCTTACTTTGCTCACTAAAATGAGTTGATTGGTAAATTAAGATGATATATTCATCCTCATCTCTACCAGGAATCCCTTCACAACAACATGGCTATTGCCCACTTCCTCTATGCTCGACAGAGCTCTCCTAGGAGAAATACTGTTTATCTTGGATTAATCACATTTAAAGAAAAAATATCATTCCTCCCAAACTCATAAAACAATGAAGAAAATAAGTAAAATCTTGTTTAACTCTTTTCCATGTCTTTCACAGGCTACATTATACCAGGTCAGCCATTTCTGCCTAGCTCATTTTTTTCCAAATCTAGCCAATCAGGTATTTCTGGAGGCTCAACATTGAGCTTAGGTGACTCTCACTAGAAAGTGACTGTGTATTCCCTTTCTTAACTGTGGCTCTTTTTGGTGTGTACTTCCAAGTAGAAACCAAGATTGAAGACTGTACCTAGAGAAGCTTCCATAGAAGAGGGTTTCCAGAAGGGCCCCAAGGAAGTGATGGTGCTGAAAGCAACAGAACCATTTACATATGATCTCATGGAAGCAGAGAGAAAGATGTTCCATGCCACTGTGGCTACTGAAAGCCAATTCTTCCAAGTGAAGGTTTTTCATGTCAGCCTGAAGGAGAAGTTCATCCCAAAGAAAGTCATCACCATATCAGATTACTATGGTCGCAATGGGTTCCTGGAGGTGTATGATGCCACGTGTGTGTCTGATGTCAATGCTGACCGAAAGATGGAAATCTCAAGCAGACTGATCCAAAATGCAAATGCAACTCCTAAAATCAATAATCTTTACTCACAGGAGCCAGGAACATTTGTGAGTGGGATATATCAGGTGCATAAGGTAAGCCCAACACCATTGTTTTGTACTATTTCCTCTGCAACTGCAGAATTTGAAGGTCTGACTTGTTAACGCCTGAAACACAGGAACTCAAGGTCCCAGTGACCAGGGTAGTTGGGTAGAAGCTTCCCACTTCAGGATACAGGATAGAAAAACTCTTCATATTCTGCTTCCCAAGGTAATGCCATGCAAATTCTACAGAAAGAGATTTCCCAGAATCCTTGGCATTTATCAGATATGATGATCCATTTACAGGTATCCTGGTCCAGTACAGTGCAGACTTTCTATTAGTATACATAGCCTTATGATTTTGTTTGAGTTTTGTTCCATCCATTTCAGTGACAGCTTAAGTTACCTGTGAATAGTTACCCTCCCAAACTTGGATGCTAGTTGTAACAACCAGAGTAAAAAACAAAAAGACGACTCTGCCCTAAAATGCAGCTGTTTCCAATAGTTAGCTAAGATTCTGATCATCTGAATCCTAAAGTGCTCTTCTCTTCACATTCACTCATCAAAATATTGTTGGGCAACTGACTTTGGCATTATCTAATAGGGAATATAGATATTGAAAAGACTAGAGAAATCATGTTGTTTAATACTCAATTTATGGGGCGCCTGGGTGGCTCCGTCAGTTAAGCGTCCAACTCTTGATTTCAGCTCAGGTCATGATTTCAGGGTTCTGAGATTGAGCCCCACATTGGGCTCCATGCTGGGTGTGGAGTCTGCTTAAGATTCTCTCTCTCCCTCTCCAATGGGCCCTCCCCCCCAAAAAATTTTTTTAAATACTCAATTTATTAATATGGTCAATAAAATGCAGAATTTGGGTTAATTCTTTTTTTTTTTACTTTCTTTAAATTTTTTATTGTTATGTTAATCACCATACATTACATCATTAGTTTGTGATGTAGTGTTCCATGATTCATTGTGCATAACACAGAATTTGGGTTAACTCTTAGAATTAGTGAAGGTATTTCTGTCCCAACTCATCATGGAAATACTAAACTGAGCCAACCTTACTTTTCTATGGGAAGTTTTGTTCCATATTCCATTAAAGGTGTCTTTCCTTCTACCCCTGTTGTTTCCTGTGCCCTCTGTGTAAGTGGCTGTGTACACAGGTGCATATGCAGAATTAGTGAGTAGTGAGTGAGAAGGAACCTAGAACAATGGGATTAGATGATCTAGACTCAGGATTCAGGCAGAATGGGAGGAATGAATAAATAGACAATGAAGAAGAATTACAGAAATGACATAATCTACTTCATGATGATTAGTGGCAATCCTCAGACTCATAAGGAGAATTCTCTGAACAAAATATTTTAAGCTAATCACTACCCCTCATCCTGAACCTCCAGCTCATATTAACCTGTCAGAGACAAAAGTTTATACCCACACCCTGTGTTTCTCATAGATGTGGAAACCTGATCCAGTTCTCAGGAGAAGGGTGTTGATTTTCTTTTGCAGAAAAAAGTGTTGAATGAACACATCATTTTGTATGAAATACAAGATAATACAGGGAAGATGGAGGTCTTGGTGTATGGACGACTGACCAAAGTCAACTGTGAGGAAGGTGATAAACTCAAACTCATCTGCTTCGAACTAAGTGCGGATCCGAGACAGCTGAGATCTGTAATTCACAGTTTCATCAAGGTGGGAACTTCTGAGGACCATCATTTTTCCAACATAGAAGATTTAAAACTAGACTGACTGTCTTTTCCATTATTCTTTCTTTTTTTAAAGAAAGAGATTTTTACTCATGTTGAAGAGAGAAACCCCAGAGAGGCCTTCAAAGTATATAAAATTAGCTAAGTATTGTAGAGTTGGTTGAATGTATCAAAGAAGGGAGATTATTTAGTAAATTTGGGCTTCATTAAGGCAGATTTGCTTCAAATCCTGGCTCTGTGATTTCCTAACTGACTAGTGAACTTAAATACCAGGAACCGCAGATTCTTCATCTAAAATAGAGGGGAAATGTCATCTATCCCAGAGGATGTTAAAGAGAGCTCACACCAGACCTAAACGATCAACAGTGGCCCTGAATATCTCAAAGCACAAAGTGACCTGCCGTTAGTGAGATATACAGACTGGTCTACACAGACAGGTGGGGTTGATACTAAAGGACTAAGTCCATGCTCTTTGTCACACACATCCATGAGGGATTGTGGGAAGACCATCAAAGGCTAATACCAGAGTGAAACAGATCAGTACAAAGGCTGATGCATTCAGACACACAGCAGCTCCTCACTCTTAGGTCTCTCCAGCTCTGAGGCCCTCAAACTTTCCAGCCTTTCCCTCACAGCCTCACACTCTCCTCCCACCTGTCTTCCCAGTGAGAACCTTCCCCCTCAGCTCTTGGCATTGAGTACACCTGCTCCTTCCTCTCTCCTGCCCTGTCCACATGTACTCAGGCTGTGTGTGAGTGACTACCTCATTTCAGGATCTCAGTCAAGGTTGGGGGGTGAATCAAAGGACAGGAGTTCCCTGAAGGGGAGAGCTGAGAGTGAGAGCTTTACAGGAAGAAGAGAGAAGGGGATGTAGTCAGTGGCTGGGAGAAAGAGTCAGTGCAGGGAGCAAGACAGAATCAGCTGCATCTCAACTGCTCTGTCTTCATCTCTTTCTTCTTCAAGGTCATCAAGTCTAGGAAAAACAAGAAACAACCACTCAATCCTGATTCACATACGGAAACCTCACTATAATACCCTTCTAAAAACCTGGATGCCATTAACAATGATGTCTGTGGAGGTAAAATCTAATTATAGAAAAAAATACATATATATATGAGAGCAATTCAGTGATAGATATACCAGCTATTGCTGCTAAGGAATAGAGTGCTAATGGGTACTTTTTATTTTCTTTTTTATACTTTTCTGTGCCATCCTATGGCCATATTTTGCATGTATAATTTTTATAATTTGGAAAAAATAATAAACTTTTTTTTCTAAAAGAGTGCTATAACAGGAGTCTAACTCATTGGTGTGTTGCTTAAAAGCAAATCGTCTGTGGCCTGTAGATCAGGGTGGGGCACCCAGGTCCCAAGCAGTATTTACATTTATACTTTGGGTGTGATCTTGACAAGGTAAGGCTGGGGTCAAGAACAGGCATGTTGAATGGGCTGTGCCCTGCTCAGAGAAAGCCAGCTGAGGGCACATGTTAGCACAGAAACCCTCTGTGCTTCAGTTGCCAAACCCTGTGTCCTAGGGAAGAATTGCTTTAGCTCAGAACAATCTATTCAGAATTAGTGTCCCTGAGGGGGCATAATGGCTCATTGGTCTGTCAAATGAGGCACCTTCTAGTAGTTTGCATGAAGGCACTTCTCTGTTTCACGTGATTCTAGCCCTGTGTGACGTGGGATAACTGGCTCCATTCCTTTAGTCAAGCACCAACAGCTCAGTAGCTGTGCAACCATATTTCCTGGTTCTCATGCTGCACAAAGGTGGATCCCATCAGGAAGTTGCCCCAGGCAAGGATCTGCATCAGGCAAGCACTGAAGAATCATTAATTTCCTATAGAGTACAATGGCAGAAAGTGGGTATCCCAAAACTGACATTTACAGTCTATTTCTTGATCCCTTATTTACTACCTGGTGTTTTGCAATTATTTTGTATCATTTAGTCTCCAGCCTAGCCGTAGACGGTTGATAGTTTTCTCCTCTTTCTTCTCCTCATATGAGAAAAGCAAGGAACAGGAAGGTGAAATCACTTTCTCCTAAAGATACTCAGATTCAATCCCAGTCCTCGGTTGAGAATCAGGCCGTGGTCCTGGTTTGGGGTAGGTGTGTGAGGGGGAGGGAAGGAGGATGAGGTGGAAGCTGTGAAGGATGGAATGGGATGTCTCCCTCTGGGAAGGTCCAAGGCTGTTTATGTGCAACTAATCTAAGGAAAAGCGGCATTACAGATCTGCCTTCATGGTTTGGGGCCAAGGTCCGTGGAAAAAGAATGAGTTGCTTTCGCTTATACTGCCTCCTTTCGGATGGTGTGCCTTGTATTCTGGAGGCTTAGATGCCAAGAGTAAAATATATACCTGTTTTTATCTCCTTGAGTGATACCATTTTAATAACATATAGAAATAATAATATGCATTAATATATTAATAAATTAGTTAATAATATATATTATTAGGATAGATATATAATATAAATTAAATATGGTATATACATAGTATTTATAGTATAGATATACATTCAAGGTAATTTTGGTCATTTTGGGAAACCAGACAGTGAGGGAACATAGAAGTACTGAGTCCAGTTTCTTCATCTGCAATGAAAAAAGTGAAGTTTAGAGATTGAGGGAAGTCATCAAGATCATAGCATCCCTCAACTAGTTAGGGAATGGATTTGATGCTGAGAAGATGTCACCGACTGCTAAAACTTCCTCCAAATCGGACTTGATTTATGGACCCTTAGGATTAAGAAGGTTTCACACAGAAATGATTTGTATTCTGAGCTACATACTCATAGTCTTTATGTTCTTACTCTGATTACTTCATATGCGTATTACTTTATACAAACTTTCCGTAATTGACTATTCTATAGGATGCAGATAATGGTGATTAAGAGTTAAAGAATGAGCTCTTCCAGTGACCTGTCCAATCCGTGTCTTGACTTTCCTTACTGTTATGCAGATTCCCTCTGGAACTTTATTGCTTCCAAGCATACCGTGTCTCTAAAGGAGACAAACAGGATATGACCCTCCACCCAAAAGAATTGGGGTCTTTGATTTTGTGTTCACCTAAACAGCTTCATCCTCTAACGCCATGGACCTGCTCTATCTTTTATTTTTGCACTTTGCACCCTTTGGAGTTTCTCCTCTACCCCAGCATGAAGTAGGCGAGAAGCTAGAAGTTCCCCTAGATTTGAAGTGTGGGATCCAAGAGAAATTCACAACTCAGAGATGCTATCTACCATCACAAACTCCTCATTGCTAGAGTTGTACCAAGTGGTCTTAAGGTGTGCAAGAGGCAGAGAAATATCTCCAACTATCTCAAAGTATCACCGTACAGCTCTGATTAGAAGATGTACATCCAAACTGAATGCCTCGTTTTCTTCATTTGTAAAAATAGGGCTAATAATGGTGAAGACATAATAGTTATTATCTGTGGTGGCCATTAAACAAGGCATCTATATAAAGCACTTAACAATTAGCTAGCCTGTAATATTTAATAAAGAAAGCTATTACACTGCTGTTTGTAACTTGCATTTCTTATTTAACGTATGTGTTATAAATCTTTATGTGTCAGAACATAGTCATAAACTGTAGTCATATTCAATAACAAATTTATCATGACTGTTTTAACTCATTGTTTACTTCAATTATTTTGAATTATTCTTTATTTAAAGCAATATTTATGTAATGCCCATAAGCCAACATATTTCTAGGTTAAATACGTATAAGTGGGGTTTTTGGATCAAGGAATATGAATATATATGTTAATAATATTGCCAAATTGATGTGCTAATTAATAGTTCTGAGAACACTGTTCTTAATTATATCATTATCACATTCATAAACTGCATATTATTAAATCTAACAGATAAGAAATACTCATTGTTTTAAAATCCTTGATCTGGGGGCACCTGGCTGGCTCAGTCATGTGAATTCTTGATCTTGGGGCTATGAGTTTAAGCCCCACATTGGGCATAGAGATCATTAAAATAATAATAACAATAACAAAATCCTTGATCCAGTTTTTGTGAGTCTTTAAAAAATAGTTTCATCTTATTTATTATAAAAACAATGGGTGCTTATTCTAGAGAGATCAAAACACAATCAAAAGAGTATTAAAAACATACACAATTTTATCTTCCTATGTGGTAAATATTTTCCATTTTTTAAATTAAGGTATAATATGCATACAGTAAAATTCATTGTTATTAGTGCAAAGTTCTTTGAGGTTCTTTTTAAAGATTTTATTTATTTATTTATAGAGTGTGCATGAGCAAGGGGCAGGGTAAAGGGACAGGGAGAAAGAGAAAGAATATGTTGGTTTTTTTTTAAGATTCTATTTATTTATTTATTTGACAGAGAGAAAGATAGCAAGAGAGGGAACACAAGCAGGGGGAGTGGGAGAGGGAGAAGCAGGCTTCCCACTGAGCAGGGAGCCCGATGGTGGGGCTCGATCCCAGGATCCTGGGATCATGACCTGAGCTGAAGGCAGACGCTTAACGACTGAGCCACCCAGGCGCCCCAAAGAGAAAAAAATCTCAAGCAGACTCCTCGCTGAATGAGGAGCCTGACACTGGGCTCAATCTCATGACCCTGAGATCATGACCTGAGCCAAAATCAAGAGCCACCAGGCACCCAAAATTCTTTGAGTTTTTACAAGTGCTTGCAGTTTAACCACCACAAAATCAAGATCTAGAACAGTTCAACTGTAGCCAAAATTTCCTTCATGCTACTTTATTATTTACTCTTCCCCTGATTCCAGGCTCCTGACAACCACTGATATAGTTTCTTTTTTTTTTTAAGTTAAATCTACCATTAAAGTATAATCGATGTATAATATTATATTAGTTTTAGGTGTACAACATATTGATTCAGCAATTCTGTACAATATTCAATACCCACCATAAGTGTGGTCCACCTCTGTCACCATACATGATTATAATATTATCGACTATATTCCCTACGCTGTACTTTTCATCTCCATGACTTATTTATTTTATACTTTTGCCTGTTCCAGAATTTCACAAAGTGGAATTAAAAATGTATATATGGGGCACCTGAGTGGCACCGTTGGTTAAGTGTCCAACTCTTGATTTTGGCTCAGGTCATGATCTCAGCATCCTGAGATCAAGCCTGGCCACAGGCTCCCCTCTGGTCGTGAAGCCTGCTTGAGAGTCCCTCACTCTCTCTCTCTCTTTGCCCCAGCCTTCGCTTGTGAGCACTCTCTCTCTCTAAAAAAATAAAATAAAATAAAAATTTGTATAGAATTCCGAGTCAGGCTTCTTTCACTTAGTATGATACATTTATGATTCATCCACGTAGTTGTGTGTATCTGTAGTTTATTCTTTTTTTGTTGTATGGAATTCAATTGTGTGGATCTACCAAAGTTTGTTTATCCATTCCCCAGGTGAGGAACAATTGAGTGGCGTACATTTTTGCCTAATTACACAACAAACTTCTAGAAATATTCACATACAGATGTTTGTGTGGACACAGGTTATCATTTCACATGGAAAACCTTGGATCAAGATGCTGGTTCATGCAAGCATATGCTTAAATTGACAAGAAATTTCCAAACTGCTTTCTAAAGTGACTGTAACATTGTTCATTCCCAACTGCAGTGTGTGAACATTTCATCGGCTCTGCATTCTCCATGGGCTCAGCCTTGCACGTATGTGTTAACTTTTTAAAAAGCCTGCAGAATGCTTTTGCTAAGTGGTTGTGTCATTTGACGCTCCTACGGTTCCGGTTCCTTCCTGACCCCATCAGTACTTGGCGTGGCCAGTCGTTTTCAATTTCAGCCCATAGCAGCTTTAATGTGCATTTCCCCTAAAGACCAATTATTTTGAGCAGCTTGTTAGGTGCTCATTTGCCACCTGTGTATCTTTTTTTTTTTTTCCTTTTTAAAAATTCAGTTGTTTGTTCTTATGGAGTTTTAAGAGTTTGTTATAAATTCTGGGAACAGGATCTTTAGCAGCTATGTGACTATCAAATACTGTCTCAAATTATGATATACTTTTCTATGCCTTAAAGGCAACTTTCCAAGAGAATTTTTTTATGTTGATAAAGTTAAATTATCAA